TGTCCTTCATGTTTGCTCAGCTTTTGTTCTTTGGATCTGTCTCTCACTTGTGCCACCTGGCGGCAAGTCTTGGCAGTGTTCAGCCTAGAGGTTTGTTCTCCATGATTCTGGTTTTTTCTGTGGTCAGATCTTCTCAGGGGCAGCTCTGTGTGGAGAGGGAGGTCAAGCCTTTAAAAAGGTCTTGAATGCCCTTCTTTCAGGGATCTCCCTGGCAGTTTGGCCTGCTGTGCCCTGGTGTTGTGGCTAGGTAGTGTGTTTTAGTCTCCCTCTACTGAACACATTCTGCAACTACAAGGCAAGAGGGATGAGAGAGGAGAGGAAGACAGAAAGGGGAAGAAGCCTTTTCTGTGCTCTTGAAACAACCTGGACGTGGCCACTCCTAGGTTTGGGTTGAAGAGAAAGTTTATTGTAGATCAAAGGAAGAACATGGCCAGGGGCATCTAGAAGGGTCCAGACTGAACTGGGCCATGAGAGGAGAGAGAGAGGAAGAGAAGAGAGAAGAGTCAAGAGAGGAGTCATGGGCCAAAATGCCAGGAGACCACACAGCCAAACTGGCTGAGATTATATAGGGCAGAGCAGTTAGTGGGGGAGGGGCTGTGGAGGGGAGGGGCTGGAGAGTTCAGGTAGGGGGCGGGGTGAGAAGTGCTGAGGAGCCAGGATTTTGTAACAGGTCAGGACTGAGGGCAGCTCATGGCCAGAGTCCTCCTTGATATGTTAAATAGGCACTCAGATAGTTATTTGTCCCGGGTTTGAGATCCAACACCCTCCCTTACCACTTCCCAGTTCCTCCCCACCTCCCTTCCTCCTTGGGTCCATTCCCTTTCTGTCTCTCAGTAAAAAACAAACAGTTGGGGGCTGGAGAGATGGCTCAGAGGTTAAGAGCATTGCCTGCTCTTCCAAAGGTCCTGAGTTCAATTCCCAGCAACCACATGCTGGCTCACAACCATCTGTAATGGTCTGGTGCCCTCTGCTGGCCTGCAGGCATACACACAGACAGAATATTGTATGCATAATAAATAAATATTTAAAAAAAAAAGAAAACTGTTGTCTAAATGGTAATAATAAAATACAATAAGATAAAACAAAAACCAACACATTAGAATTGGACAAGACAAACAGAAGGAAAAGAGTCTAAGAGAAGGCATAAGAATCAGAGACTCAGGAATCCCATTAAAACAGTAAACTGAAAGCCATACTATTACAAATATATATATATATTTTTTTTGTTTTTATTTTTTCGAGACTGGGTTTCCTCTGTAGCTTTGGAGCCTGTCCTGAACTAGCTCTTATAGACCAGGCTGTCTCTGAACTCACAGAGATCTGCCTGCCTCTGCCTCCTGAGTGCTAGGATTAAAGGTGTGCGCCACCACCTGACCAGCAAAAAATATTTTTAATTTTATGCCAGGCATAGCAGTGTACACCTTTAATCCCAGCATAGGCAGGTGGGTATCTGTGAGTTGAAATCTTGCCTGGTCTACCTGGGTACCCTGTGCCTTTAAGAGACAAGTCCTGCCCACTCCCAATCCCTCCTGCCCACCAGGCAAGGGGATCTCCCTCCTCCTCTCCAGCCAGCTTTCTGTAGAGGTGGCTTCTGCCTCTCTCCCTTCTCCCCCACTTCTTCCCTTTCTCCCCTTCTTTCTTCTCGTTCCCTCTCTCTTCTTCCCCTCCCCCCACTAAATAAACTCTATATCCAAGCTCTCTCCACATGGCGTATCTGTCCCTCTCCCACCGCAGGGCACCCATGCAACCTTGGGTCGCCAGCATCATGAATGATAACATACAGGATATCTATGGTTGCATAGTGAGACCCTGTCTTTAAAAAAAAAAAAAGGGGTTTTAGCCAGGTGGTGGTGGGGCACACAGCTTTAATCCCAGCACTCGGGAGGCAGAGGCAGTTGGATCTCTTGAGTTTGAGGCCAGCCTTGTCTACGAGACCTAGTTCCAGGAAAGGCTCCAAAGCTACATAGAAAAGCTATGTCTTGAAAAACCAGAAGAAAAAAAAAACAGAAGAAAAAAGTTTTAATTTCTTCTCCTAACTTTAAAAAGACGTATTTATTTAATCTGTGTACTTGCACATACATCTGTGCATCGTATATGTACCTGGTGCCCTTGGAGGCTAGAAGAAGCAATGGATGCCCAGGAACTAGAATTATCTCAAAAAAAAGGCACATGGTTGTAATCACAGTACATGGGGAAGAGAAGCAGAATGAGCAGTCGTTCAAGACCATCCTTGGGTCGGGCGATGTTGGCGCACGCCTTTAATCTCAGCACTCGGGAGGCAGAGGCAGGCGGATCTCTGTGAGTTCCGAGTCTACAGAGCTAGTTCCAGGACAGGCTCCAAAGCCGCAGAGAAACCCTGTGTCAAAAAAAAAAAAAAAAAAAAAAAAAAGACCATCCTTGGCTACACATCAAGTTTTAGGGCAGCCTGGGCTACATGAGACACTTAAAAAAAATGCTACCTCGTTCACAGAGGATCAAGTTCATGGTTTATATCTAACTGACCAATGAGAAGTCTTTGACATAGTAAACAGGGAAGTGAGACCCACACTGTCAGGAAACCACCAAAATAGCTAAAACGAAAAGTTGGCAACGCTGACAATAATGACTGGGAAGAAGATGAAGTCACTGGAATCTTGAACCAACCGAGAGGAATCTTGAATTAATACAACCACTTTAAATAGTTGTTCAACATTCTTGCCAAAGCTAGTTGTAAAGGTGAGGCTCCTTTAACTAGCCATTCCGTTCATTGGTATTGGTAAACAGAAAATGTCTATCACTTCCGCTGAAAAGACTGCGCACAACTGTGCAGCATGGCCAAGCACCAGGAACTCTCCGTATTCTTATGAGCTACGGAATCTCACAGCGAAATTCTGTGTGGCGTGAGAATGAGTGGGCTACACACAGCTGTGGTGACGAGTGGCTCTCAGAGGCGGGGTGTTAAACGAGATTTGTCTCCATCTAGGCATAGGTTTCCTATGTGGGTTTAGACAGCTTGCTTACCGTAGGCCGCTGTTCTGTCCTTCTAGCTGCTCCCCAAATAACCTCACAGAGACTTGATATTTATAAATACCCGGCTGATAGCTTAGGCTTGTTTTTCCGCTAGCTCTTATAACTTAAATCAACCAGTTTCTATTCACCTGTGTGCAGCCCCAGTTCTGTTTACTTCACGTACGTGTTTCCCATCCTGCTCACTGTGTACAGCATGGCACCTCCTCTGACTCCACCCTTCTCCCCAGCGTTCTCTCTGCCCTGGAATCTCATGGCACCTCCTCTGACTCCACCCTTCTCCCCAGGGTTCTCTCTGCCCTGGAATCTCATGGCACCTCCTCTGACTCCACCCTTCTCCCCAGCGTCCTCTCTGCCCTGGAGTTCCTGCCTAGCCATTGGCTAATCAGCTTTTTTTTTTTAAGATTTATTTATTTAGGGGCTGGAGAGATGGCTCAGTGGTTAAGAGCATTGCCTGCTCTTCCAAAGGTCCTGAGTTCGATTCCCGGCAACCACATGGTGGCTCACAACCATCTGGAATGAGGTCTGGTGCCCTCTTCTGGCCTGCAGGCATACACACAGACAGAATATTGTATACATAATAAATAAATAAGTATTTAAAAAAAAAAGAAAAAAGATTTATTTATTTATTATGTATACAGTGTTCTGTCTGCATGTGTGCTTACAGACCAGAAGAGAGCACCAGATCTCATTACAGATGGTTGTGAGCCACCATGTGGTTGCTGAGAATTGAACTCAGGACCTCTGGAAGAATAGTCAGTGCTCTTAACCTCTCCAGCCCACTAATCAGCTTTTTATTAACAACGAGAGCACCCATCTTCACCATGTACAGAAGGATTATTCCACAGCAGCTTGTCGTGCACAAGACCCTGGCTCTTTTGTCCTTTTGTCCACAGCACTAGATAAGAGAATTCTGTTGATCTTGTGCTTTTTTTTTTTTTAAACAGGGTTTCTCTGTATAGTCTCGGCTATTGTATCTTTTCCTTTTCTCTCTTCTTCCCACTTCTTATAGCCCTGTCTGGCCTTGAATATGATATATAGCTGAAGATGCCCTGAACTCCCAGTCCTCCTGCCTCAGTCTCCTAGATTTGAACACTTTCCTACATATGTCATACATTCCAGTACAAACTTTAATGAATGAATTAAGGCTTGATTCCTTTTGTTTGGTTGGTTTGTAAAGGAGTGACCTTTAGTCTATTATTGCTCCCTTATTGAACTCATGAAATTAAATTTTTTTCACTTGATCAAGGGTTCCTTAGGTGTGTTTATTCTTGTCAAGTGGATCCCATCGGATCAAGTGATAAAAGCTTATATAGGTAGAGGATTTCTATGTCAAGAAAACTGGGCTGTCTCTTATCTCTGAATCTTCTTTTGTTGTTGGGTGTGTGTGTGTTTGTGTGTATGCATGTGTGTGTGTGTACTGAGAATAAAAGCCGTAGAATTCCTGCACATTAAACACACTGACGTACCTACTCACTGTACCACTGAGTTATACTGCCAGCCAAAGGAGAATAATCTTTGGTTTGTTGTTTTCAGACAGGATCTTACTGTATAGCCCAGGCTAGCTTTCAACCTGAGGTTCTTCTGCCTCAGCTTTCCAGATGCTGAGATTGCAGCACCCTGCCCAGTTGGGAATAATGTTTAATGACGACAACAACGAAAAAACAAAAACAACGCATAGGATGGATTCCCCAATTTTACCCAAATATCCCTAATGAAAAAGTAAGGCCTGCTGTGTACAGAACTTACCTGAATGACCTGTTGGGGAATCTCTCTTGTCCAAACCTTTGCTGGGAATCTTTGCACAATGCACAGAGGTCAGGCAGAATGCATCTTGTGTTGAGCCTTTTAAAGAAGAGCTTTTACATTCTAGTCCTAATCCGTGAGGACCCTCTAACTGCTGATTGTGTAACCTGATTCTGTTTGTCCTTCCCCCACCCTCTTCCTTTCGTTTTTTTAGGGTTTTGTTGTTGTTCCTGTGTTTGTTTTTGCAGATCTTTTCACAGATGCCGCTGAGACTGAACAAATGGCCCTGAGCCTGGAAGACTCGGAAGGGGTTTATTTTGTGCCCTCATTTAATGGATTACAGGTATTCTTTAACAGAACTGACGTGAAAGGTGCATTTTAGGACGAGGAAACTATGCTGAGTTAGCACAGATTCTGTAGGCGAGCAGTGCGTTCTCTAAGACCCTGATGGTTTGGCTGCAATGATAGAATTCAGCTGCTATCGACTTTCAGCTCTAAACCTAAAAGTTAGCAGGTTTGTCATAGAATGTTTAATATGGCTTAGGGTTGGGTTATAAATAGGCACTTCTGAGCTGTTGGGCTGTAAAAGGGGCTTTTTCTGTCTTACCTGGTCCCGAGACCCTTTTAAAATAATCACTCAGAGACTTAATATTAATTACAAACTGTTTGGCCTAATTAGCTCAGGCTTATTATTAACTAGCTCTTACAACTAAATTAACCCATTTCTATTAGTCTATATTTTACCGTGAGGCTCATGGATTGTTACCTCACATCTTGCTTCCCCAGTGACTGTTGGCATCTCCTTGACTTTGCCCTTCTCCCTTATCTCTGCTTGAATTTCCCACCTGACTCTTATTCTGCCTGGCTATTGGCCAAATCAGCTTCTTTATTTACCAATGGTAATAAAATATATTCACAGCTCACAGAAGGGTTATTCCATAGCATTTCCTCCTTCCTTTTTTTTTTTTTTTTTTTTTTATTTTTGAGACAGGATTTTTCTGTAGTTATTGGTGTCTGTCCTGGAACTAGCTCTTGTGGACCAGGCTGGCCTCGAACTCACAGAGATCCGCCTGCCTTTGCCTCCCAAGTGCTGGAATTAAAGGCATGGGCCACCACCGCCCAGCTCCTTTCTTTCTAATCAATTAGAAAGGAAGATTTTAATTTTAACATAGTAACACTGTATACAATAAAACAGTTATTAAGTAAGAATAACAGTTACGATATTTAGTTTATTTGTATTTGACAAATTTAGAGAAAATAATTATCCTGTCTTGGTGAGTCTAAAGTTTTATATATCTAATTTATCTTTTTATCATAACTAAAAAAAGCTACAACTATAACTATTTAGTCTTCAACTCTGTCAAAGACCTGAGAAGGGAATAATATTATCTGAGTAAGCAGGAAGTGCAAGCAAGTGACTTTGAAAAAATACAAGAAATGACAGAAACAGCTGGCTACCTCAACAGTCTCCCAAGGTTTTTTTTTTTTTAAACATTGGGGCATCCAACTTGGGCTATAGGCCTAGAATATTTGACAGACAGAAGATTTGAAGGACTATCCTACCGTGCCTCAGCAAGGTTCACCAGTCGCTTTTCCTTGTGTCTGGATTGGACAGCGTGATTACTGTCAGTAGTCAAGGCAAGGGCAGTTTTCCCCCAATAGGCCAGTTTTACTGAAAAGAAAACAAATCCCATATGGAGTGTCTTCAGTGCCCATTATCCTCTTGGGAGTAGATCAGTGCTGCCAGGAGAAGTCATTTCTCACATCAACAGAATTATAAATTATTAAAACATTTTAAATGCTATATTCTGTAGTGTTTGACGTGTATGAAGATTACCTATCTTTGTGGAATATATCTTTGCATACCTAGAAAACCTAACTAACATGACTATGAGTTTGACAAACATGGATGATTATTAACCTGTACAGCTTAAAGGCTAAAGCTTCACATACAGCTCATACAGTGTGTATCAGCAAATGGGTATTCTTTACTTAAGAGAACATACTGTGGAGAATGAGAAAAAGTCACTGGCCCTGGTAGTACATGACTTTAATCCCAGCACTAGCACTGTGGAGGCAGAGGCAGGGAGATTCTGTAAACTCAAGGCTGGCTAGGACTTCATAGAGAGACTTTGTCTCAAAAATAAAACAAAAAAGAAATAGAAAAGAAAAATGACATTATGTTACGCACACATAGATATGTATTTATTCTAAAATGTCTCTTTAGGTTTCGTTAGCTTTTTTCCAAAAATCAAACTTACATTTCAGCTTTTATGGTAGATATTGATTCTTTTGCCTGATCAAAAGTGATCTCAGGCCAGGCAGTGGTGGCGCACGCCTTTAATCCCAGCACTCAGGAGGCAAAGGCAGGCGGATCTCTGAGTTTGAGGCCATCCTAGTCTACAAGAGTTAATTCCAGGACAGGCTCCAAAGCTACAGAGAAACCCTGTCTCGGAAAACAAACAAACAAACAAAGTGATCTTAGTAAAAAACCTGACTTTGAAATACTTAACCTTGTAGCTAATTAACAGAGTTGTGCTTGCCTCTGACTTAGAATGCTGTTACAAGGATGTAGGAAAGTTTCAGGTGTAGAATTAAGAATAAAATTAACCGGGCAGTGGTAGCACAGGCCTTTAATCCCAGTACTCAAGAGGCAAAGGCAAGCGAATCTCTGTGAGTTTGAGGCCAGCCTGGTCTACAGAGCAAGTCTTAGGACTGCCAAGGCTATACAGAGAAACCCTGTCTCCAAAACAAAACAAACAAACAAAAGTGAGTTCTAGGACAGCCAGAACTGTTACACAGAGAAACCCTGTCTCAAAAACAAAACATACAAAAAGCAAAAAATACTCCTTAAAAAAAGCAGCTCCTGTAAATATTTTTCAGGTCTGGGGAAGTAGAATGTAACTCTATTAATAAAACAGTTGTCTAGGATGCATTAAGTCCTGACTTGATCTCCAGTATTATAGAACAGGGCATGGTGGTGCACGCTTGTAGGGTTGAAGGAAAACCATTTTCGGAGATTTTATAGTGACAGCATCTCTATAACTTCCCAGCGGGCCATGTACCTCTAAATAATACAGAGCAAACAGTTTAACAGGGGTGAGGGAGGGATTCGGCTTGCCGCACTTCCAGAGGCCTAGCATTTGCTTCCCAGTTCACAATAGCCTTTTATTCTGGCTCCAGGGGATCCAGTGCCCCCTTCTGGCACTTACAAGTACTTACACACATGTGGCATATATTCACAAGAACATAGGCTGTACATAAAAGTTTAAAAACCAATCTGAAAACCTGGATCTTAAGTCTGTACTCTCAGACTTGTGAGAAGGGAGCAGGATCGGGGGTTCAAGGCTGGCTGTGCCTACATAGTGAGTTCAAGGCTAAATTTGCCTATGTAAGAACTCTATCAAAAGACAACAGCCAAATACGTTGGCATATACCTTTAATCTCAGCTCTTAGGAGGCAGAAGCAGGTGGATTTTGGTGAGTTTGAGGACAGCCTCATCTACATAATGAGTTCCAGGCCTGTTAGGGCTACATGGTGAGACCCTGTCTCAAAATAAATAAAATAAATAAATAAATAAATAATCAATCTTGCTTAATCAGCTCTTTGGATTGTAATTTATTTTAAATTATTTAAATGTATTCTTCTATCATGGCTGTGCTTTGTGATACATGTCGAGCCTGTAGATGAAATTTAGAACATAAATAGTGTTCTTTTCTCTCTTCTTCAGGCCCCATTGAATGATCCCTGCGCATGTGCCTCTTTTATGGGTTTGAAGCATTCCACCAGTAAATACCATCTTGTCCGAGCAATACTGGAGTCAATAGCTTTCAGGTAAAGCATGCTGGAACTCCCTCTGCCACCTCTGTGCTTCGTCATTTCCTGGAGATTTGCTGCCAAACAGAAATTTTTCCCTAGAAAGGATTCTTTTTAAATACGTGTTTCTTTATTTTGTGTGTGTATGTGAGTGCTTGAATATATGTATGATACGTGCTGCATTCATGCAGAAGTCCCCAGAGGCCAGAAGATGTGCTGGATCTCCTGGAATTGGAGTTACAGACAGATGTGAGTTGCCATGTGGGTGCTGAGAGCTGAACCAGGTTCTCTGCAAGAACAGTTAGTACTCTTAACTGCTGAACCATCTCTCCAGCCCCTCAATTCAGTGTATGGTATATATGATATTATTTGTTCTTGTGGCTGTATTTAATAGTACCAGGACCACCTAAAAATGGAATGTTTTTTAAAGATAGCCCAGGCTGCAAATATAACTCAGTAATAGAGCTTATACTTTGTGTATATGAGGGTCTGAATTTTATCTCTATTATTCTTACAAGGGAGAATTCAAACCAACAGCAATTTGTTATACCCAAAGACTAAATAATAGGAATTATTCTTTACCTATGTTTTCCCCTGGTCTTTTGATTATTGGACAAGTTAATACCGGTTGTCAACTTGAAATGCCTTAGAGTTGCATAGGAGATAAATATCTGGGCATGTATATGAGGGCATTGATTCCTGTACACTTAAAGAAAATAAATCTTCAAGGAATAATTGAGGTTGGGCAGAGGTGGCACATGCCTTTAATCCCAGCACTCAGGAGGCAGAGGCAGGTAGATCACAGCATGTTCCAGGACAGCTAGAGCTGTTATACAGAGAAACTCTGTATTGGAGAGAGAGAGAGAGAGAGAGAGAGAGAGAGAGAGAGAGAGAGAGGTATTTCTTTCATTTAAAGTAACCTTTTATCAATACAAAATGATATATTTGGCACTTTTACATGTTGTTTGGGTATATCATAGTAAAGACTATCGACTAAATAGATAATTGCTTGAAATGCTTCTTTATAGATTGGCAATAAACTAAACCTAGTTGTAAAATTAAAATTATACTGTTGCACAAGAAGATGGAGCACATGAGGCCCTAAGCTTGCGTCGTCGAGCATAGGTTTGTCTGTGTCTGGTTGCCAGGATTTTAGTAGTTTCTTTTGCATCTTTTATCAAGTCAAGTAAATGAAGCCATAGTTCTTATTTGTTTGAAACATCAGAGTGAAATATGAATTTTGACAGGAATATGCTCTCAGTAGTTACCTTGTCTTTGACTAGGAACAAACAGTTATATGATATGCTGCAGAGGGAAATCCAGATCCCGGTCACGAATATCCGGTATGTAAGCTTTGTTTACACAGGCCTGGGGCCAGTTAGGAGCGACAAAACCAACCTGATGAGTTGCTAGGTGATTAAGCATTCCCCTGGGTTTGAGCCCTAGCAACACAAAACAAGCAAACTAGAATTTTTTTTTTTTTTAAAAAGCAGTAGCTATTATTTATTTTCATTTTTTTTGTTGACTTCTAAAGCTTATGCCTGGTTCTTTAACAATCAAATTGTTGGTCATAGCAATTTGGAGAGAAAAATGCTAGTTTTGGATTATTGAGACTATAACACTTTGAAATTTTAGGGATACTGACTGTCAATCATGTATATTATATAGAAATGATTAACATTCATTATTGTGTTGTAGCTATCCTTTTGATGTGGAAGCATCAAATTGTTTTATCCTCTTTAATATCCCAGTGAATTCTTCTGTTGGCTTAGTTTATTTTACTTGTCATAATTTTGAACTAGTGCCAAAAAAATTAGACCCAAGACCTGAATAAGGAACAGTATTTACCGGACAGTGGTGGCGCACACCTTTAATCCCAGCTGTCGGGAGGCAGAGGCAGGTCGATCTCAGTGAGTTCGAAGCCAGCCTGATCTACAGAGTGAGTTCCAGGGCAGCCAGGGCTGCATAGAGAAACCTTGTCTTGAAAAACCAAAAACAAATAAATAAAACTTCTCCCACTAAAAAATAAAAGCATAGGTTTGGGATGCGGCTCAGTGGTACCTGCTTCCTTAGTACCTGTAAAGCCAGCATTCTCCCCTCCCCAAAAGTTAACTTCAAAAACAAAAACACCAGTAACCACATAAAAATAGTTAACGTTTTTCACAGTAACTCACCCCGAGGTTCTTGCTTCCCACAGGGCGGATGGAGGCGTCTGTAACAACGCATTCGTCATGCAGATGACTTCAGACTTGTTTAACGCGAGGATAGACAGACCCGCCCACTTCGACATGTCCTGCTTGGGCGCGGCCACCCTGGCTGGCCTGGCTGTTGGTACGTGAGGACTTTATCAAAATGAGCACTTGATAGTAAGCTGTTTCTGCACTAGTGCGGCTCATCTCCTGTCATAAACTTCCAGCGAGCTTGTGTCTGTCAGACTTCCGGCCTGCCAGCTGTCCTCTGATCTTCTGTGGGCGTGTCGCCCCGACTGCCCTAACTTTACTCCTTAGAAGAACTGTGAAGTCAGGGCTGTGGTCAGCTGCTTTGGTCTCCAGCAAAGGATGGCCTTGTGATGGACTTTCTCAGTGTACAATGTTAAAGAAAAGAGACATAAGACAGGTATTGCTCAGGGAGTCTCTTGAGGTAAGGAACCACCATAGTTACCCCTTGTGGTGGACACTACAAGGAAGAACAAGGATGTGGAACCAGAGAGCAGGGTGCGAGGAAATTCTAGCTAACCCAACCCAACAGGATCCTCGGCGGAAGCAGGGAAGAGGTACTAGGCAATGCCTGGGGTAAATTTTGAGGCCCAGAAGTTGTGGCATTCTTGAAAAGAGATCAGGCCAGACGGTGGTGGCGCTTGCCTTTAATCCCAGCACTTGGGAGGCAGAAGCAGGCAGAGAGGCCAGCCTGGTCTACAAAGCTAGTTCCAGGACAGGCTACAAAGCTATAGAGAAACTCTGTGTTGAAAAACAAAAAACAGAGAGAGAGAGAGAGAGAGAGAGAGAGAGAGAGAGAGAGAGAGAGAGAGAGANAGAAGAAGAAGAAGAAGAAGAAGAAGAAGAAGAAGAAGAAGAAGAAGAAGAAGAAGAAGAAGAAGAAGAAGAAGAAGAAGAAGAAGAAGAAGAGATCAGATGCACTACAGTGTAGAGTCTGAAGGTTTTCCCCACTAGGCCTGTCTTTGTGTTAGAAATCAGCCATCCCTTTACTCACAGCTTTTCTTGAGTGCCTTCTGTAAGATAATCACTGCTGGGAATTGAGAAGCTGAAGCCACAGTCCCTGGTCTCTGGTGGGATGAGACAGATGCAACTGGTGGTCAGATCTGTGATAAACCCAGCAAAGGTTGATGGTGTGAAGCCACCTGGGTAGGAGCGCCAGGGGAGGCAGCTGTGGCCTAGCTTCTAACAGAGCAGGTTGAGGGGAGAGGGGGAGGTAGAGGAGAGGAAAGGAAAGCACTGCTGTGGAGGGAAAGAGGGGTGGCTTCCAGGCTCCACAGTGAGACCCCAGGAAACAGTGGTACACATGTGTGCAAGCACACACACACACACAGATACACATAAATACACAAAGACATACACATATAAATACACAGATACACAAACACAAAGACACATAATTACACACAGATAAAGACACAATTACACATAAATACACAGATATACACACAAAGACTCTGGTTAATAAACTCTGGTGGCTTGAGCTTTATCTACTTCATTAAATCTATATTTAATTCCAAACTTTCGCTTCTCTCTTAGGAGTGTGTGAAGAGTATATATAGCCTCTATGTTTCCTTTCTTTCTTTCTTTCTTTCTTTCTTTCTTTCTTTCTTTCTTTCTTTCTTTCTTTTTTGGTATTTTCGAGACAGGGTTTCTCTGTAGTTTTGGTGCCTTGTAGACCAGGCTGACTTCAAACTCCCAGAGTTTGCCTCTGTCTCCCAAGTGCTGGGATTAAAGGCATGCACCACCACCGCCCGGATTATGTTTTCTAAATTTACTAGAAACTGGGTCTGTTCTACACATATTTAATAAAATGGCACATATACATGTCTACCTTAAATATAAGTTAAAAGTTCTAGAAATAAAAATTTTTAAATATATATGTTACTTATTTACTCTATAGACAACCTTGCCATGTAACCTAGGCTGCCTTCAAATTCCAAATCCCCTTGTCTCAACCTTTCAAGAGCTGGTATTAAAGAAATGAGTTACCGAACACACAAAACATTTATTCTCATTACTAGATTTATTTACTAATATGCAACTGATAAACAAATGAAACCTATTAGTAGTCATTTAAAACCCTTTATGAATTAATATCCTTGAGTGTAGTACAAATAACTAACTTCATAAATACAAGGAAATCTTAGAAAAAAAGAATTGTGTATTGGGCTGGTGACAAATGCTTGCCTGTGATTCCAGCACTCAGGAGGTAGAGGCAGGAGGATTAAACATTTCAGGCCAGCCTCAGCAACATGTGCCTGTCTGAAAATGTGTGTGTGTACACACATGCACACACACACATATATAGTGTGTGTGTTTGTCAGTTTGAGAATACTTGCCTGTTATGTGTGCAGCTCTCTGTTCAATCCTAATACAAACAAAAAATAACTTAATGCCATTCAAAAAGAAAGAGTTTTTAAAAAGTAAAATATTTTTTTAAAGATTGTTTTGTTATGTATACAGTGTTCTGCCTGAATTTATACATGCAGACCAGAAGAGGGGACCAGATCTCATTATAGATGGTTAACCATGTGGTTGCTGGGACTTGAACTCAGGATCTCTGGAAGAGCAACCGGTGCTCTTAACCTCTGAGCCATCTCTCCAGCCCCTGGACTGCGTTTTAACATTCTAACTTTTCTCCTTGTTCACAGTTCACATAAGCTGGTGAATATACTTCATGAACTCATTATTTGCCTTAAATTCTGAGAATTTTTTTTTCGTCTGTAGGATTTTGGGCTGACAAAGAAGAGCTACAGAAGCTAAGGCAAAGTGAAATGGTGTTCAAGCCCCAGAAGAAGTGGCAGGAATATGAAATGAACATGGAAAACTGGGTGAAAGCTGTGAAGCGCTCCATGAATTGGTATAACAAGGCGTAGCACTGAGGAGCCAACAGATCCCCACCAGCAGCCTGGCAAGACATGGACGGGAGAAGCTCAGGGAATCCCGACATGATGGTGGCCGAGAGGAGATGATTTCAAGCGAGCCTCACGAGCGGGGAAAAAAGTGTTGGTCTTTTTAAAAACTCACTAAGGAAATTGTCTTGCTTTTTAAATCCAAGTCTTAGTGAAATTTTAAATCAGCAATACCTCAAAATTGTGTCTTCTCTCTTCTAGCAACTTCCAAAGGACTTTTTCCACCTCCAGCTGCACTTTGATATTTGAGTCCTCCTTTTTGTACACAGGGTCAATGGTGCACAGGTCATAGTCATTCGCCCTCAGACAACTAATCGTTCTGGGTCAAGCACCATCGCATTTTAAAAAAATATTATGAAAAATTTTTCTTAAATTTAAAATCAAGTGGGCTATTTGAAATCCATACAGCTAAAAAGGAGGAATAATTGAGACAGCAGAATGTTTTTTGTGTCATAATTTTTAAGTGTCATATCCAACTCTGAGCTCTTTTTGTGCCTCTCTGAGGTGAGCCCGCGAGTCAGCACTTTACTTCTTGTGCGGGAAGATACTCCCTTAATTTTCCCTTGCACGACTTTTGCTGTTGTTACTGAGGTATGGTATCACTGTGTAGGCCAGGCTAGCTTGGGACTTAGATCCTCCTGCCTCAGCCTCGCAATTTCTGGGATTATAAGCATACCCTATCATCCTGGGCTGAGCACTCATCACACGTGAGGACCGGATGTTAGTTAGTGGCCTGAAAAGGATGTTGAGGCTGGGCATGGTGGGAGATGGTTGTGATTCCAGGACTTCAGAGGCTGAAGGCGGTGGAGCGGGAACTTGAAGCCTATCATGCCAGTGCCGGGAGTGGAGGCATCTGGGTGACTAGTGAGGCCCTGATTTGATAAACAAAAGCAGACCTTTTGTTTTATTTTGTTTGTTTGAGGAAAGACCTGCTGTCCACCTCATGCTGGTTTCTAAGTCTTGAGCCTCCTGTCTCTAGGGTTCTGTGTAACATTCTATTTTTATAAAATGCAAGTAGTTAATGTAAATCTTTCTAGTTCTTTATATTTCTCTATTTGTTGAAATGCCTGCGTAAATGTCCCTTTTTTAAAAAGTGCCTACTTGACAGAGTTTAAATTATTATTATTAGTTTTTGTTTTGCTTTGTTTTGCAACTGAGTCTTATTATGTAGCTCAGGCTGGCCTAAAACTCCAGTTCCTCTTGACGCAGTCCGAGTAGGTGTTAGCGTAGGTGTTAGGACTGTAGGAATGTGCCATGCCTGGCGTCAGAGTTTACTTTAAGTGCCCTAGTTCATTGGTAACTTAAAAATTGCTTTCTTGGGTTATTTTGTTGGTGTGTGTTTTGGTGTTTGTCCTGCTCACCTCTGAGAGATAGTGAAGGCTGGCCTGTACGTTGATGGACATCGTGTGTGATCGATGATATTGCCGTAAGGCTAAGGTACCACTGAGCCGGTCTCACCTGATGAAGCTTTGGTGCTGGAAAGTGGGAGACGCCTCAGGCTGGGTATAAAATTGTCCTGAGCAGTTGAGGGTGCTCCAGCCTCTTCTACATCACTGCCTCTCTCTCCGTTGGGGATCTGGATTTTCAAGAGTGAATGAACTTGTTCCCACCTTGGTCAATATCACGTAAATGTGCTACCGTGATAGTCGTATCTCATAGATAATTGTGTCACTGGAGGAGCCGCTGGTAGAGGGAATGCTGTAGCTGCTATGTCCATTTGGGAGTCAGTTACACTGAATGAATACTTAGTTACATTGAATAGTTAGTTACATTGCGCTTTGTGGAAATTGTTTCCCTGGGCTCCCAGTGTCTTCAATTGTTAAAAAAGTTTTTTAACAGAAACATTGTAGCAAACACGTAGCATCCTTAACTCCATTAACTCATTATGAGGTTAACATAATTAACTCTCTTATGAGAGAGCCTGCAGGATGGCTCAGCAGGTAAAGGCACTTGTTATCCAGGCTTGCCGACCTGAGTTCCATCCCATGAAGAAACCCACGTAAAGGTAGAAGGAGAACACTTACTCCAGTCTTCTTCCGCCCTCCACGTGGGCATGGTGCTGTGCATGCATTCTCTGTGACAGTAGCAAAAATTGTAAAAAAGATTCGGAAACGTTTTCTTGTTAGAGGTATTTTTGTTTACTATAACATATCAGATCGTATGTAGATGTCTTATTCTTTCCTACAACATTTTTACATAGCTTCGTGACCAATTACAGGATTTCCCATCAATCATGTGAAAGCAGATTTATCTCAGTGTTGTTATAGATTCTGCCGAAAGGTATGATTTCATAGGAAGCCGTTCTGTCCTTTGTGTTAGGATAGACTAAACTGTGCTGTTAATTACTAAAGGTTTGTTTTCCATGTCTTCCACATGCTCTTCTTAACATACAAGTACAGCATGAAGGAAAAATACCCTTTAGATAACGTGAAAAACAGCTAATATCTCATCCAAATAGAGCTGCTCTTGAAAGATCAGTCACTTTTGCTTTTTCTTTTGTGGATCTAGAAGTTAATCTTTTGCTCTTCGGCTTTCTGGCTATATTTTATTGATAGAGCTTAGTGATTCTTGTAAGATTTAAGTAAATAAAGTCTGTCGGGCAGTGGTGGCTCATGCCTTTAATCCCAGCACTTGGGAGGCAGAGACAGGAGGATTTCTGTGAGTTCAAGGCTAGCCTGGTCTACAAGAGCTAGTTCCAGGACAGGCTCCAAAGCTACAGAGAAACCCTGTTTCGGAAAAAAAAAAAAAAAAAAAAAAAACAAGATTTAGTAAAATTGCAAAATCAAAATACTATGTTGTTTGTGCCTGTAGAGACAGTTGTTAATCAAACACAATTGAAGAACATATTTTCTTCATCTGCCTTTTGAAAATAATTTTAATATGCTAATACTTCTTAGCATATTTTCTTTTCACCTTGTAGACCTACCAGGCATTTGTCTCTAGCAAAATCAATAAGGACAGTGTTCCTGTGCAGTCTATCTTAAAGTGTTACTAACTGCTCTGTACTCTGACTTACTGATCTTAAATCTCTTATATCCATCTGTGACATGGTTTCTCAATGTCAGCATTGATCTCTGTTTTGTTTTCATGACTGGGTCTTACCACATAGCCCTGGCTATCCTGGAACTCACCATGTAGATCAGGCTGTCCCCCAGACTCAGAACTCTGCCTGCCTCTGCCTCCTGAGTTCTGGGTTAAAGGTGTGCACCACCACATCTTGCAACACTGACATTTTGAACTGCATCTGTGTTTGCTCTGGGATTCTGTAGTAGACACATATGCTTGGCAGTATCCCTGCCCAAAATATTTGCCCAAATTGGCCACCCTGGGAGGCAAAAATATTGCCATTTAAGAACCACTGACTATTAGGAGAAAAATGAAGATTTGGTGACTATAGTTGCATTGCCAATGTTCTTTGCCTTGTTTTCCCTTAGGAAATGAATTTTTAACAGCAATGGAAAAGTAGGGAGTATCCTAAAATGCAGTTTCTATTTTGCTGGGCAATGAAGAAAAAGTTGTGTTGATTGTCTGTGTTCCTCAGCCCCTCACCTCTGTGGTTGGATCAAGCCTGGGCCCTGAGCCTGATGGTCAACTCTTCCCCTACTGAGCTCCACCCAGCTAGTACTTATGCACCTCAGTCCTGCTCCTGTGTGGTCACAATTAGTGGACATGTGACCTCAAGGTATGACTGATGCATTCTGTAGATCATCTGTGACTTGATCTGGCCTCATCCCAATTTTCCCAAGACAGAATCGATCTTACTCTGTGGCCCAGAATAGCCTGAACTCATGGGTGCTGGGATTACAGGCATGAGTCACCACATCTGGCTTTGCTTCACTTTCTTCTCTGAATAAGGAAAAGATTGTCCCAAACCTTCCCTAGATTTGATGCTTCCAGAAGCGGAAGCCATGTTCTCCATTCTGCCCCAGCCCCCTCCAACTTAACATTGTGCCTTCATTGTTTATGGGTGAATTTTTACTTCACATTTATATTTGATGTTACATTTATTGATAATATCTTATACTTGTTGAAAAGGAAGATATTTACAACTAGAGTCATGATGTTTATTGTAAAAAAATCACGTCTATGTATTTTCAAATATATTTTTCTAGAGATATACATCCATAGATACATATGGGTATAACAGCTTTTTGGTTGCTGGTCTGGGAATGGACTGTGGAACCTGGTGCATGCTGAACATGCCCAGCTACTTTTAACTTTTTAAGGTCTAGTTGAAACTTTCATTCACAGGTTTTATATATTTGACTTCAGATAAGTAACATTGTATTTTAAGAGCACCCAACACTCTGTTACTAGAGGAAGGAACCACAGAAGTAGCCCTTAAGCAAAACATCTAATTAACATCTAATTGGGGACTGTTTTTTTTTTTTTTTTAATTTGGTTATTTTTTGAAATAGGATCTCCCTTTATAGCTCTGACTGCTCTGGAACTCACTCTAAACCAAGCTGACCTCAGACTCATAAGAGATCTGCCTGCCTCTGCCTCTGCTTCCCACATGCTGTGATTAAAGGTTCCCCAGACCCACTGTTCCTGGCTCTGGGAACTGGTTTTTAATGTAAAATAGAACAACCCAAGAGGCTGACAAGACTTTTACAGTTCTTTGTTTTTTTCAAGACAGGGTTTCTCTGTCTAGCTCTACTCATCCTGGAACAATGTAGACCATACTGGTATTGAACTCACAGAGATACACCTGCCTCTGCCTCCAGAGTGTGGGGAATAATGGCTTGTAACACTACCCACGCAGTGACTTTTACAATTCTTTGAGGAGATGTAATTGCTGTGCCTCAGTCCTTCAACTTTGAGTCTAGAGTCACCAAGAAGTAGTCTAAAGAAGACTTGAATCCACTTGAACAAAATTTTTTTTGTTTTGTTTTGTTTTTGTTTGTTTGTTTTTTTGAGACAGAGTTTCTCTGTTACTATAACAACCCTGGCTGTCCTGGAACTCCCCCTGTAGACCAGGCGGGCCTCAAACTCACAGAGATCCGCCTGCCTCTGCGTCACCATTGCCTGGCCACTTGAATAATTCTTAATTCCTTTAGGAAGTTTAGATTGTGCTTTTTAAGTAAAAGTAGGAAGTCTCAGACACACTGTGACCCTGTATGATTCTCCTGGTAGGGAACTAAAAGCCTGAAGGAGCCTCCAGAATCGAATAATTCCGAACTTCTGTTATTCATTTCTCAAAGCCTTCCTGCCCTCCTCATTCTTTTCTCCACATCTAGATAGCCATTGAGATTGAATAAGAAAAAATGACATAGGAACTCCAGCTTAAATGGTTCTTAGGTTGGAGGTAGTTTAGTGTGGTAGAGCCCTTGTGCGCAGGGCCCTGGGTTTGATCCTTACCTACGATCAGTGTGTGAGTGATTCGGTTTCTCCATATTTTCTCACCAGCATTTGGTGATGTTGAATATGATTTCATGTGCCTTTTGCCATCTGCTCGGCATCATCTTTTAAATCTTTGTTCATATCTTTGTCCGATTGCCAATTGGATTGTTTGTTAAATGAGCCATAATTTTTTTACAATGAAATCAGACTTCAGAAGTCATTGAGTAAGATTTTTCAAGTCATTTAAGGCAAAATGTTATAGCATCTTGAACATTGCCTTATGATGTGCCTAGCAAAAGGGCTGTTACCTCTGTGCCTGTAGTACGGGGCTCACACTGTGAAAGAAACCAAGGTTTCAAAGGCAACTTAAGATGTCCCATAGTGTGTCTGGACACTATATATATCTTGTATATTGCATTCATCATGATTCTAACTCTGTACAAAACTGTATGATTTATGTAAAAGTTCAGGATGATTTTTGTGGAAAATTGATTTAAAAAGATGAATAAGTATAGATTTGAATTCTCATATATCAGTATTATGATTTTATTTCTCTGTTATTGTTATGGATGTCAGTTTTATTAAATACTTATTGAGACTGTCATAAACCATCTTAAAGATCTTTAATAAAATTGAAGATGAACACAGCCATAGAAACACCCTTCATTTGCATATGGGCTTCTGTTTAAGACATACTTTTTGGTTTGGTTTGGTTTGGTTTCATTGTTGCTGTTTTCTGAGACAAGGTTTCTCTGTGTAGGACCGGTGAAGACTTTCCTAGAACTCAATCTGTAGATCAGGCTGGGCTTGAACTCTTCACCAACTGAACGGTCTCTCTCCATAATATTTTTTTTATCTATTTTAATTTACTGGTTTATTTTTTATGTTACTTGAACTTTTATTGAATACTGTTTCCTACTCTGGTTTCTGCACACTGAGAAAAATTCCAGAAGGGGCTCAGGTTGTGCCTGTTAGGAGTCAGCTTTCCTGGGGGTTCGTGAAGCTCGGGGCGCTCTCCAGTACTCCTTAAACTAGGTGTGGTCTCACACATGGAGAATCCCAACATTTGGGAGGTGATCCAAAAGGTCAGGAGCTCAAAGCCAGCCTCTGCTACCTAGCAAGTCACAGAGTAACTCGGGTATAGCTCACGGTAGAGCACTTGCCTTGCAGGGATGAGACCTGGGTTCGACCCCCACCACTGCATAAAAGAATGAAAGGGAAGGAGAGAAGCCAGAGAAATAAATAAGCCTGTTAATGACAGGTGTCACTCAAATTAAAATTCGCATGTATGGTTAAAGGAAAAAAGGGTTTGCCTCTCTGGAATCCATTTTGTTTGCTTTTTTTGAGACTGGGTCTCACTCTGAAGTCCAGGCTAGCCTCAGATTCATTATGCAGCCCAGGTTAGCATTGATGACGCATTTCTGTCTCCTCAAGTGCTAGGCTTACAGGCATGATCTACCATGCATGACTTTATATTCTTTATTTAATTTTAATTGTTTTTAAGATCTTACTGTGTAGCTCGGACTGGCTCAAACTCATAGCAGTACGTATTCCCTAATCTCCCAAGGGCGGGTATTGTAACCCTGCTCCACCCACTGGGTCTCTCTAGGTTCTCTTTTAGACTCTTATTCTCTAGTTAAATTTTTTTTTCTTTTTTTTTTTTGCTTTTTTGAGACAGGGTTTCTCTGTGGTTTTGGAGCCTGTCCTGGAACTAGCTCTTGTAGACCAGGCTGGTCTCGAACTCACAGAGATCCGTCTGCCTCTGCCTCCCAAGTGCTGGGATTAAAGGCGTGCACCAGCACCGCCCAGCTCTAGTTAAATTCTTACACAGAGGAAATTACCTAACAAGATGATTTCTTCTTTGTAATTGGGGAATAATTTGTTGTAAAGCTATATCATCTTTTAAAATATTTAGAAAGATTATATAAATAACTGAAAGAAAGGCAATTTGATATATTAATATAGTAGAATTAGCCCTGCAGAGAATAATAATGATAATAATATTTTATTAGGTTTTTTTCGAGACAAGGTTGCTTTGTAGCTTTGGAGCCTTGTCCTGGAACTAGCTCTTGTAGACCAGGCTGGCCTCGAACTCACAGAGATCCGCCTGCCTCTCCCCTCCGAGTGCTGAGATTAAAGGTGTGTGCCACCACAGCCCAGCTCCCTGCAGATTTTATAATCCTTTCTGAAAACTATAATTTACATTATTTAGGAAACTACCATGATACAATGAGTGAATAGCTGTCCTGTAAATGCTAGTGTATTAAAGTCACTTTACTTGGGTGTGTTTCATTTGTTGCTTTAGTTTACATACATTAATTAGAGACAAACGGTGGTGGAAGATTCAGCCAGGTTATCTGTTATGCCCTTATGAGCCATGCCTCTCCCAGCCCCCCAGAGACCACCAGGAGTCCGAATTTGTATGCAAAAGCAAAGAGCCTTTATTGCAAGCTTGACTTTGGAATTTCCTTTCACAGTGGTTAAATCAGCAAGAGCACTGAGCTCAGCTGTGCAGGGATTTTTAGGAATAAAGAGTGGAGGGGAGGGGAATTGCAGATTCAGATGGGGGTTGAACTCCTGATTGGGCAGGAGTTGGGTAACAGAAGTCTTGTCAAACAGGAATTGGTACTGGTGGTGCCGCAAGGAAATTGGCAACCTATGTACAAGTTAGGTAAGCTATCCTTAATGTTCTGCAGCATCTAGTACTTGTTTATCTCAATTCTGATTGATCCCCCGCAGGGTACAGTCTGTGTTTCTTCCTGGTTGGGAGGATGGGAAGCCTGGTCCCATCCTCTTAGTCTGTAGCTTAGTCTGTAGCCTGCCATGGCTGCACTCATGTTAAGTTAGGCCTCTTCATTATCTAGTCAGGCTCCCTAGCCAGAGTAGCATCTCTGCCTTCTCTGAGCCCATGGTGGTGCAATTGTTCTCAGCCATCCTTAACACAGTTCCTCATGTTGTGCTGACCTCAACCATAAAATTACTTTCGTTGCTGCTTCATAACTGTAATTTTGCTACTGTTATGAACCACAAGGTAAATATCTGTTTTCTGATGGTCTCAGGTGACCCCTGTGAAAGGGTCATTCGACCCCCAAGGGGTTAAGAACCACCACTGTGGTGGGACATTCGATGATGGTAAATACTCAGGTCTTTGAGGAAAGGAAGAGGTTTTGTTACTGTGTTTTTAAAGTAATAGTCTGATGATGAGGAAGAACGAGGGCGCTATGGAGGTAAAAGGAGACTTTTTGTGGAGCTGGGCTCCCCCCCCCCCCCCCTAGCATCTAGTGAGGAATCTTCCTTGCTGGATTAGTGGAGGTGGGAAGACTCATCCTCAGTGTGGCTGGCTGCCATCATTTCATGGACTGGGCCCTGAGCTGGATTAAAGGGAAGAGCACACTGAATGATAACATGAATGAATGAACTCATTTCTCTCTATTGTATCCTTTTAAAGATTTATTTTTATTTATGGTATGCCAGACATGTACAAGGTGCTCTTAGAGGCCAGAAGAGGGGATCAGATCCCCTGGAACTGGAGTTAGAGACAGTCATGAGCAGCGCAGTCTACGTGCTAGGATCTGCGAGGACAGAAAGCATTCTTCCACCCTGAGCCATCTCTACAGCCACTCCACTGCCGACTCTGGATGTAATTTCCTTAGCTGCTCTGTGGGCCTGCCACCTTGGTTTTCCCAAGATGATGCTCTGTAACCTGGAATTGCGAACCAAATAAACCCTTTCTCCCTACGTTAGTTTTGTCAAGTTTTTTTTTTTCCTTCTTAGTTTATTTAAGTTTATTTTTTGTGCATTGGTGGGAAGGTGTCAGATCCTCTGGAACTGGAGTTACAGGCAGTTGTGAGCTGCCATGTGGATACTTGGAACTGAACCCAGGTCCTCTGGAAGAGCAGCCCGGGCTCTTACCTCCTGAGCCATCTCTCTAGCCCCTTTCTCAAGTGTTTTATCAGCAAAAGGAAGTGAAACTAAGGCATGCCTTATGTAGAACCGCCTCCAGTCAAGACCTTCATTATCGACTCTGCACTTTCATGTTTAAATACATACGTTACGTACAGCCTGGGCACGGTGGTGAAGCAGCCTTCAGCAGTGACTACCTCGGTTCCATCCTTGGACTGAAATTTCCTACCTGTTCGCACTCCTGTTCTTTGTAGCAATCTCCCCGAATAAACCACCAGCATGTAATAATCCATGTCTAGGTGGGCCCCGTTGACACACACCTCTAATCCCAGCGCTTGGGATGCAGAAGCTGGCACATCTGGGAGTAGAAGAAGCCTGGCTTTGGTTAGGGCGTTCAGGGCAGCCATGGCTACATAGGGGCTTTGTCTCAAAAGAAAAAAAAAAGTTGCTTTTATGGGGGACTGAGGAGATGACTCAGTATGGTAAGGTGCTTGCGAGGTCAGCATGAGACCACCCTGAGTTCTAGCTCCAGGATCCATGCTTTAGAAGGGGGTGGGGCTGCATACAACTGTGTGTGAGGAAGTGGGCCCAGACAGGGGCTTCCCAGTGTTGTGCTGGCTCAGCAACCAGGCAGCGCAGCCAAGTGGCGAGCCCCAGGTTCAGTGAGAGACCTTGTCTTAAGAAATAAGATAAATACACCCAGTATTAACCTCCAGCCTCGACAGACACATGTAGATGAACGTGTGCTCATGTGTGCACACGCATGCATATTCTACATACTAAATAAATAAAAATTTTATAAATATATTAACATATTTTGTCAAAATGTTCGTGGCAGACAAACAGGTCTCTGTACTGTTAGCTGTTATTCATTTATTTATTAATTTCTATCGGTGTTTCCCTGCATGTACATCTGTGTGAGGGTGTCGGAAGCCCTGAAACTGCAGTTACAGACAGATGTGAGCTGCCATGTGAGTGCTGGGAATTGAACCTGAGTCCTCAGTCAGCGCTCTTAACTGCTGAGCCATCTCTCCAATCCCAATTGTTAAATATTTTGACTCCCACCCTTGTATAATACATAAAACTCCAAAGACATTTCTACAGATGCAAGAGACATCTACAAGGAAATTCAGAGCATCAAAATAGGGAAAAAAAGTAAAAATTCAAAAAGTTTATCAGTAAGAATTTATACATTTTTTAAAAATTTATTTGCTTTTTGAGATAGAGGCTCCTCTAAGCCCAGGCTAGACTTGAATTCTCTATGTAGCCGAGAAGAAGCAGGAGGATGCAGAGTCCCAGGCCAGCCTGGGCTACAAGAGTGAGATCTTTTCTAAGCAGGTAAATAAGATTAGAGGTGAAATTAGGAAGTTGTTTTCATGTAGAGTCACTGAAATTCTTCTACTACTCCAATGAACGAGGCTGTATTTCAAATTCAAGGCCCCCGTTCCACCCTGTACTGCTACGGTGGGTGGTTTATCTGTACGTACAAGGAGTATAGCTCC